ACACATCTCAATTTGTTTGCATTTGTTCATATTTTGATGATTTCTTCCTCAATAATTTTTTTTTCAAAAGAAAAGGAAAAAAAATCTAGACTTGGCGTTTTAGTACAAATCTACAACGTTGAGTGTACTCAGGGCTTGTATTATTGTTAATGAGAAAATGTTTGCTAACGGACCAGGTGCCGTTTTCCAAGTACATGATGCTCTTCTTTCCTAGCCTTGGAACATATTTTTTTCATAGTTGTAGTATTTTTTTTGGAATATGGTTTGACATGGATTTTGGTGTTTGGAATATGGGATGATCTAACATTGATTGGTAAATATGTTGTGCAAGGGCCTATTAATAATTTAAGTATACTCTGTTTTATTTTTTAAATTGTTTATGAGTTAAATATATGTAAACAAGTTGACTTGTTAAATGCCTGGTGATAATTGACTTCTGGATATATGAAATAAATCTAGATTCTCACCACTTGGTGGTTAGTAAAGAAATAGAGTTGGTGTAAGATTAAGATAGGTGGGAAGAGTACTTGGAAGATATAAGATTGTCCAGGTAAAAGGGCCTTTCTGGTTAGATGTGGAGAATTATTGTTGAGTGTGGGATTTCCATACCATTGGAAAGTTTCATGAACTAATCAGCATGAATAGGAACCCAAAGAGTAAATTTTGAAATCCTAAGGTGAGCTAGATTGTGTTCCTAAGGGATCGTTCCAATGATGCTGACAATGATTTACAATTGGATGTTAATAAAGTAGTGAACAAGTTTGGAAAACTCGCTAGGTGGCGCCTTGGCAATGAGGGGCCTAGGTGATGACCGCCGACTAGGACGCCCAGAGACTTGGGCGCCCAAATGTTAATTTCTTTTTTTTTAGGGTTTGGTTAAATACCAAATCCCCTAGATTTGAGTTAAAATACATAATTTCAAAACAAGTGAAGAAAAGAAAGAAGAAATCAATCAGTAATATGCATTCGTAAATCCTAAATTGTAACAAATAGTCAAACACTAAAGAAAATCATATATCAAAATCAACACAACTCATAAAATGATAAAAAGATTGGGCAGAAATGCCTTTTGATTTTGCAAGAAATAAAAAATCTGGATTTTTGTTCCATCTTGGATTTCTCACAAGAAATCCGGATTTGAGTGTGTTTTTTGGCTTGAAAACTGAAATTAGTTCTCCAAAGTTTTTGCGGGGTTAAAATGACCCTCCATGGTCATTCTCCTACGCTCGAGGGGCATTTTCGCCCCTTCCTATCTAAATTTTTGCAGGCTACCTAGGCAGTTTCTTGGCTCCTAGGTGCCTGCATTGTGACATGGCCCCCATCCCACCCGACTAGGCTATGCGATCCGCCTCGGGCCTCTGGCTCCCTAGGCGCTCGGGCAGGTGAACTTCCAACCTTGACAGTGAAGTGCTAGTAAAGTGGCGAATTAGATTGGGGTTAGTTTTATGGTGGGTTAGGTTGAAGATTTGGTGATTTACTCTTGTAAGCCTCCTATTGGTGGAAGGTTGGCTAGTTATTTCCCATCATTTGTAATTTCCATCAACTGTACCATCATTTGTAGTTTCTTTCATCAGACGCAGCTTACAAGAGTGAGCCAAGTTTGTTTACATGCTTAATTTGCCACCTAATATTACAATACCCAAATTCAAAAATTGCAGTGTGGTACAGTTGGTAAGCTTTAGTTTAATGACATGATAATGTTAAAAAAGGAAAAGCACATGATAAGATCATTTATGGTGCAAGGAGGTCTCAATCACCTTGGGCCGTTGGATGTGAAATCAGACAGCTGGATTGTACTGTTAACTGGGCTCAAAGTCCAACAAAAAGACTTTTCGAATTTTGTGACACACTCTAAGCTGTTGGATTTCATGTCCAACAGCCAGGGCTGATTGTGACTTCCTTGTACTAGAAGTAAATGGTCAGCATGGTTTTGGGGTTGTGTGAGTTATAATAAGGATTGGTGCCCTTGTTAGTGGAGATGCATCATCGAATTTTTCTATTTCATAGGATTCCCAAGACAACCACCTTGGAACACCCTTTAGTGCATGATAAATAAATAATTTGCACCCCATCATTTCACAGTTCCATACCCATTTCAGGAATGTGAAAGAGGCGATGAGAAACATTTTGCTAGAACTTAGGATGGCTATATTGTTTGGCCAAAATTGGCCGAAACAATAACATGGATAGTCAATTAACCAATGGAACTAGGATTTTGTTTGAAAATGTCTATGTAGGAGGATCAATCTTATAGCTGAGATTAGGGTCAGAGCTGGGGCAAATTTCTTTGTCAATGCCTAGTTGTTGGGAGGATTTGCTACCTGACTCAATAGTTTGGTTGTGTGGAGCAATCATAGAGGGTTGATCTTTCCTACCGATGTGTTCTTTCCAGAGTGGTTCTTTGATGTGTCTTCCTTCAGGAGTTCTTTCTTAATCTGGTGTATGGGTTGTGATCATTTTTTTGGGCACAAGTTCTGAGTTGAATGATTGGATCAATGATTTTTGGTTTGATACATGACCTGTAATTTTGCAGATTGAGCATCCTGTATTTATTTTCTGAGATATAGCAAACATAAAGAAAAACTCTCCTGATATACATTTGATTCCTGTAAATGCAAGAGCTAGAGCCACAGGGTCGTACCCAGTGGAGAAGATATGACAGGTGCACTTGGTGTTGTTTCCTCTGAGTGGAAGGGGGTTATGACTTGGATAGATCGTGTAACTACTCGTTTTTAACAGTCGAATTTGCTTTGGAGAATCACTTGCGAGGTTTGGACTTGTGGAGGTTGGTAAGCTTCTGGAAGTTTATGTGACATGTCTGTTCTCATGTAGGAGGTACAGTGGAGATGCTATAGGGGCTCAAGCCTATGGGCTGCTTGGTCATACCCCTAATTACAGAGACAAGGGCATACATAGATTGCCATGACTTAACTCATTGATGAAATAAGAGAAATCAAACATGCTGAGGTTTGCATCCTTAAGTTGCTCTAACTATCTTTCCATGGGACCCTCCTTTGTTTGGCTAGCAAAAAAATAATTTGGCCCTCAAAATCCTATGCATTTCAATTATTGGGGCATGGCCTCATACCCTTGTTCAACACGTAAGTTGGCCTTATATGTGACCATATCCCTTAATTTTTTTCAATTACATTTCCATCTGTAGTCCTCACTTGGAGCAAATTTTGTTATAATCAGAAAGCACTACTTTATGACAATAGATAACTAATAAAAAAGGAAAACAGTAAAGAAGAGGCTTATAGACCACAATCAAATGAACTGGAATTAAAAATGTGAATATGAGCAATGCAAACACTAATTTATCCTGCCAATAGAATGTAATTGAAGGAGATGGCTGGTTGATAAGTGAGACTTCCTATGTGCAAGGATGAAGAATAATTTAGACTTTTCTCAGAGGAATTTCCAGGGATCAGATAATAATTTCCAATGGAAATAGTGATAAGAGCCTTAGATTGGGATTACGTGGCTACTTATAAAGTTTGGAGGTTGGTGTCAGCTTAAAATTGACTTGACTTTATGCTTGTGTTTGAGTTTAGGGGCATATTGGTATATATCTGAGACCCCGCGTGACGTGTATGTGAGGGTAAGCCTTAGAAAATTTTTTATCTACTATATTAATCATGGAAACAGTAGTGAGGATTTTAAACAATGGTTGGGATGATTGGTTGAAGAGGCCTTTTGAGGAGGCTTGATCATCAATTTGGGTATTTGAATACATGCAAGAGGCTGTGGCAGGCCACTTTTTCTCCTCTGTTCATTACTATCTTCAATGCCATATTCTGTTCAGGCAGCGAAGGTAGGGAAGGCTTTTTATGTAACCCCACCCATATATATAGTATATGTGACCCCTAGTCTCAGCCATAAGATCTAAGTAGATGTCTAAGATGGCTTGAGTCACAATGTCACAAACTCACTTTTAACCGTCAGATCTTGATCGGACTGCTCAGAATTTTCAATTTTTAATTTTTATTCTATAAATCATTTTAAAGAAAAATTTAGGGTATGCATAGATTTGACAGGGGCGCACATGATAAAAATAATAAAAAAATATTTTTTGTGATGAATAATGACCAGAATACCCCTGAATATTGCAAGGGAATTTTGGTCTTTTATTTTTGCATAAAATATTTGTGTTTTTTTTTCCCAGGTTCACCCTAATTTTGTGATAGGGCGCCCAAAATTGCATCCAAAAATATATTGTAGAAAAAAATGAAAAATAAAACAGTGTTTGGCGTGACATTGGGGTATGAACAATCGTAGCCGTTCAATCTGAATCGAACGGCTAAGAAGATGGGTACATAGAAACATTTCCTGCGAAGGTAAGGTTAGTCAGGGGCTTTCCACTATGCATTAGTGTAAAACCTGATTATGTGCCTCTTTTCTTTCTTTTTTTTTTGGTCAATTATATGAAAAATGTCCTTGTCTTTTGATATTGAGCTGAGATCTTCTTAGGCCGTGATCGGGCAGAAAGCTCAATATTTTGTGGCATCTGCATTCATTTTGTTAGTTGGAATCACTTGCTTGATTGATTGCTGGAAAAGATGACGAAAAAGTAAGGGAAAAACTTCACAGTAATCAGAAAAGCATATATTTCTATAGGTTTTATGACAGTTTTCGAATTTGTTTTTAAAGATGATATGGGTTAGTGCTCTTTGGTTCTCTTGCACTTCTAGACCTCCGGCTTCCTCTGAGCAATTGCCATTTTTTTTGAATTTTAGTGGTAATAGATAATTGCTTGCTTGTGATTGGGAATCACAAATCTGAACTTTTTAACCTAAATCTTTTAAAATGAGAGGTAGGTGTTGTACTGAGTTAATGTCCAAAAGGGTGTAATGTAAGTTATTGAATTCAAGCTATATAGTGTGCCTATTGATGAATTTCATCTCGGTATAAAATATTTGTATTCCTAACAGTGCAGAGGATTATTATTTCCTTACTATCTGCTCTGAGGCCCCTGTAAATCATGTCCCTTAAATTTGCAGATTTTTGTAACTCTTTGAAGTAGCTCGCAAGCAGGGCCAGAGAAAGAGAGAAAAGGAGGCAACTGTGCACATTTATATTAATTCCAACTTTAGTACCAATGTATGGCTTTAGAGCTAACAGATGCTTGTAAATACTTTTTAACATTGAGTGGGGTTATAAACTTCAGCATGCTTGGTGCCCATCCAAAGGTGAATAAAATGTTATCTGCTCGATAACCATGGAACTTTATCTGTAATGTACTCTGTCATGAATATTTTTAAACCCGTGAATTTGCTATAGAGAGCCATGCATTTTTCTTGGATATATTTGTGGCACTTAAAGCTTTGATTAGTACGTAAGGTCCTTTTTGAATTGGCAAGCTTTTGGATGTTCTCCATTTGAACTGGCTAGCTTTTGGGTGGTGAATTTGCAAACCTATTGATGAATTTGCTGTGAGACAAAGCTCTAAAGCACTAGACTAAGGGACTAGAAGCACAAGTTGCCTTAATTTTCCTTCTTTCTTTTTGATATTTAGTGACCTTGATGGTAGAGAAAATTTTCATCTGAAATACAGTAACCTATTCAAAATAGGAAAAAGTTTATATAAGGTTGCAACCTTAAAATGTAAAATTAAAGATGCACTTCAAAAATCCATTGGATAAGGTTGTTTTAATGTTGAAAACCCTTTTAATTGATCATCTCGATATCGAAATGTATGAATATGAAAAAAAAAAAAAAGATTTGAGTCTTAAAAATAGTGCATTTTGCAATACATTATCTGGACAGTCCATTTTCAAGATTTTCATATATTTATGGATCTACTTGATTTTAACCATTTTTGGAGTTTAAAATTTTATAATTAGATATGAAAATGGATTTTGAGATAATCTTGAGAACTTTTTACACTCAAATTACACATTATGATAAAATTAGGAGGTGCACTTTAATTGATTGGATAATCAAGAGGAAGTGCATCTCGTCAAGATGCACACGCATCTTAACGGTCCATCAAGCATCATAAAAGCTCAACCATGGCAGAAGCAAACTCGGATTATAGCTTAACCAAACTTACGAATGGTTTTGATGCTTAATGTACCATGAAATGCAACAGTAGACAAAAGTTTTTCATGTGTAGTGTTTATACAAAGAGACATTCCCATTTTCAAAGTGGGTGTAGAGTTTATACAAAGAGACATTCCCATTTTCAAAGTGGGTGTAGAGTTTATACAAAGAGACATTCCCAATGGATGTTTGCTTGTGTGCATTTGGTGGTGAAATGCTTACTTTTTTTGGCAAAGTATGATCTTCGCTATCCGGCGAGTAGGCTGAATGGTGATGAAGAGTGGATCTCACAGTCACCAATCATATCTACAGCTAAATTGCATGTCCTTCCCTCCATCACTGTTCAGTCTATTGCTCAGCCAATGAAGACTAAAATCTGATTGTTAGGAGGGTTATATTACAGGTACTTAAATCTTTTTTTTCTTGTGCCTTTATCTTTGGGCACATTTTCGTTTTTGGAAGAAATGGAAAAATATTTGGCCCATACTGGAAGCCAAAGGGCTTTAGAGGCATTTGTTTGACCCTAAAATTAGCCAATCTTCTTTTTTTCATATCTATTAGGTTTAGGGAAGACGAGCTTAGGAGCCGTTTAGAGAAAGAAACAATTTTTATGAATTCTCATTTAACAGGAATGAAACCTAAAAAGGTTAATATACAAATACATATTTTGTGTAGACTACATAATCCCTACACAAATATACAATGACAATAAAAGACAAGTGAAAACCATATACACAAATTATTACCCCTTTCAAGCTGATGCAGACATGAGTAAAGCATTAACTTGTCCACTAGAAAATAATGGCATTTTTTAGTAATTGATTTAGTCAAAATATCACCCTTTAGCTCAGTAGAAGAAACATAAGGGAGAGATAATGTATCATCGAGATAGCGATCACGAACATAATGACAATCTACATTAATATGCTTTGTCCTCTCATGAAAAACCGGATTAGATACAATTTTAATTGCATTTTGGTTATCTGCATATAAAGGTGTGGAATTCAAAATAGAGATACCAAATTCATTGAGAAGAGCACGAACCCAAACAATCTCATTAGCAACAGAGGACATAGCATGATACTCAGCTTCAGTGCTTGACTTGGAGACAGTGTCTTGTTTCTTCGTCTTACATGATATTAAGAGGATCTAAGAAACACACAATATCCTGTAGTAGTCTGGATCACCTGTCCAATCTGCATCGGCATATGCACTGAGATCTAAAGAGGATGTAGAGTCAAAGAATAATTCATGACTGGAAGTACCTCGAACATAGTGCAAAATTTGATAAACTGCTGATAGATGTGGTCGTTGAGGATCTGAAATAAACTGGCTCACAACATGGACAACATATGCAATATTTGGACGAGTCATAGTGAGATAGATGAGGGAGCCTATGAGTTTGCGATACATTGTAGGCTCAAGAAGATGATCGCCAACATGTGCAGAAAGTTTAACATTGAGTTCCATGGGAGTATCAACAACCTTCACATCATTCAATCGGGCACTAGAAACAAGATCAAGTGACATCTTTCATGTTGATGGGACTAGGAATAGAGGCAACTGCGCCCATTGAGTCTGACCAGGTACATGAGGATTTCCACGTGGCTGAGGATGTTTTCGACAATCATTAATTAAATGCCCTAGCTTCTTGCAATAATTACAAAAAATTTACTTCTTGCACTGATCAGCCGTGTGGACTTTTGGTTTGCATATATGACATTGCACTTGGATATAGTTAGCATCCTTGTTAGGAAAATTGGAAATGGCGAAGGGCACATCAATGACATCTTGTGAGGTAGATTTGCAAACTCCAAGAAAGCCTAAGCGAGTTTCTTCAGCAAGAAGATCTAAGAGGCAAATCATCTAGTTGTGGAGTGTGAGTATGATGAAGGATTGAGATTCTTATGCTTTCAAACTCTGTTCGTAACCCCATAAAGAAGTAAAATAAACGAGACTGATTTCGTGCTTTAGTAACAACTTGAGTAGGTGGCTCAGTCTCCATTGTGTCCATCTCATTCCATATGCTTGAGAGAATATTCAAATAATCTTGAATTGATGAATCCCCTTGTTGTGTCTTCATACTCTATTGTTCAAGGGTACACAAACGGGCAATGTTTTCTTGAGAATCAGTCTTTTGTAAATAAACCTACATTGCTTTAGCACTAGGTTGATATGTGAGGTTGCACCGAATTTTGGGCTCAACTGAGTTACGGCAAGCTAATCACTATGAGAATAAGCTTATTCTCATCCTTAGGAACTCGATGGGCTAATGTCGGCCAAGATATACCAACAAAGTTTTAGTTTTTTTTTTTTTTTAGCAATCAGTTACTCAAAGAAGACAAAATAAGAGAATAAGAAACGGGGTATCAACGAGGTTAATGTGGGGGGTATCCTTAGAACGAGATTAATGTGGGAATCAACAATCAGTATTTAGAATAAGAACGAAGTTATATGTAGAAAATAACAAAGGTCATTTTATTGCTGCTCCTTAGAGAAATTTGTAATATAGGAAGTAATGGACAAATTAAAGGGAAACATCAACTAGACAAAACGAGGGTGAAGAGGGAGAATAAGGGCAACAAAAAAAAAAATACTGAGAGCACAAGAAACCACGCAACAAGGCAGTAAACCAGGTAAACAAAAAAAAAAAAACAAAACAGAAAATAACAAAAGTCATTTGGACTTCACATGTTTAAAGAAAAAGAGATTTGACCGTAGTAGAAAATCCCTACCGGATCAAAAATAAAAAATAAACAGGGGCAAACTGACCTTCAAAGTAGATAATGTAGATTGGTGCAGCTTTATTACCGCGTTATTTTAACTTTTTCCAGTTGTAGATGTTTTACAAACTTTCCGGTAATATTTTGCATCATTAATTATTTGAATGCTTAGTTAGTTGGCACGAGGCTGAACCATCATGGGTCTTGGATTTTGATTGTTGGGCCTAAGCCCAACCCAATAAATGGCAGTGGACCGCCATGCCAATCCTGTGCCTATCATTTAACTTATTTAGTTAAGAATGAAAAAGAGAAAGGGGACTATATTTTATATGCAAGTTCAATATTTTGGTCGTAACTTTCTAATACTAAACAAAAACAAACAAAGAAGAGATTTGGATGGTTGGAGAGCTCTTTTGATTGTATATAAATTGATTTATTTTGACCTGTTAACCATCTGGTTGGTTGGTTGCGATTTCCGCACTACACCGATAGAATTACTGAGGAGGTCATAGATCGATTGAACCCCCCTCCCGCGTAAAGGCTTCGTTGGCCCCTGCCCGGCCCATGCAAAACTGCTCCTGTGAACCAGACCCCCCTTTTTTCCTCATCTTAATCATTATAAAAGCTTGATTGCCGTTCAAGTAGTACTAATTATTACTTAGCCAAAGATGAAAGATCAATCATTCTTGAAAAGGGATGCAACACAAAGAGGTTTTGTATGTAGTTTGTATATAAATCATGATGTGGGAAAATATATCTAAAGAAGATGACAATCTTGATATTGAGATGTATAGATTTAGAGAAAAATAGAGTTTCTAGGTATTAAAATAGTACATCTTGCAACGTATTATCTAGACCACCTATTTTTTAGATTTTTCATGTGTTTATAGATCTACTTGATTTGAACCGTTTTTAAAATTTCAAATTTTATGTTTAGAGATAAAAATAGATTCTTTTATCACCCCGTAAGAATTTTTTATACTAAAATGCAACGTACTTTAATTCTCTAAGGTTGCAACCTAATGCAAACGTATTTTTTTTTTAGCTTTTACCATACATCTTTTTGGGATCCTCTCACGCTGTTAGATGTGAAAGGGGCTGTTGGGGGTGTCATTTCTCCGCCCAAAGTCTGTTTTATGATTTCGAAGGCATTGAATGTATGCCATGTGCTTGGTTCTGAATGGCATAGAATGGATGCCTGGTGCTTCCACAAAAGGCACAAAGGGATAAATTCTCCGGAAAATAGGAGTGGCAATGGACCTCGACCTGATCCGAGACCCGATAGGTAGAACCGACCCGGGTCTGGTTATGGGTTAAAAAATTGAACTTAGTGGGTCGGGTTTGGATCCAAATCTTGGATATGAATACTATTTGGGTCCAGGTTTATGTAGACCCGACCCCAATAGTTTTCATATTTTGATAATATTTAATATATCATATTTAAATAAATATAACTATATATTTTTAGCTACAATATTCAAATAACATATTTATATATTTAATAAAGTTATGAAATATATAGATATTTTGATTTTTGGGCAAGTCTAGTCGGGTCCTTTCCGACATTATATTTTCAGATCTAGATTGGGGTCTCGTGACTTCTGGTCCGGTCGGTTGGCCCGACCTAACACGTCCCGATCAAATGCTACCCCTATCGGAAATTGAAATTCGAACAAAATCCAAACTAGATTGCAATGAAGTTCTTAACCTCATAACCAACATAAATTAAAGCCCTCGGGAAAAAGGCACACATTATGCTCTAGTAGTAATACATTATCAACATGGTTATATTAGGGTGTTCGCACTATATAGCATCATATAATGGTACTCAACGAATTTTGGATACTTATATATCCTTGTTTTGTAATACAATATTTTTTTAGTAAGGGTATTTTTGTCATTAGGAGGGATGTGACATTATCAACATAAAATTTTATATCACCCACATAAAGTATTAAATGCCACTAGTATGCTTGGTGATGTCACACCTTTCTTAACGATAAAAAATACCCTTACTAAAAAATGTTAAAAACACAAACCAATAGTATATTACTGTCCAAGATTTGTTGAGTACAACTATAAAATGCTCTATAGTGTGAGCACCTTAATATAACTCAATATTGTAGAAATTTGCTTTGGTGTTTCTAAGTAATATATATATATATATATATATATATATA